ATATATATAACATGCATATAACTAAGTGATGTATTGTGTGCATCATTACGTACGAACAAGCAGGAGGAAAGGTGCTTATTCCACTCTCATCATCACCTTGGAGTCCCGCTCTCCATCCGCATTCATGTCGATGATTGGCCCTCGATTGCCCTGGGCAGCAGAACCCTTGTTTTGCTGCTGTAGACACCGGTTTGACACATGCACGTAGAGGAATAGCATCTAAGTCTCCTTCCGGAAAAGTACCTGCAAATTCCATCAAGTCTGTTGCCACACCTCTATCATCCTGCACTACAAAGAAAACGGTCCAGCCCAGCCTCCTTCCAATCCGACTGGCCACGATTCCCACTCCTCAACCGCAAGATAGGTCAATTGGGAAAGGTGAATGTCAATCCGCCGTCGTTGCAAGCAAGTTTCGCTTGTGGAAGGAGAATAATAGCCATTCGGCCACTTGACTGGCAGGAGGTATCACAAAGTTGAAGTGTCCAAATACAGCATTTCGGCAAATACTTTCATTTATACTACAGGATACAGTAGCACGCCAGGAGGGGTCTTTCATGACTACGGAGCACAGACTTGCCTTCAGCTTCACTTGGGGAGCTTGTCCTGAGACTTCGAGTGTCGGATGTTGGGGTCTGCCTAATTGAAAGGCCACAAGCACAGCGGGGACAAGCTTACAGTTTGGTTCAGAGCCTGGACAAAAAGAATAAGTTCCGGTTTGCTTGTTACGACTGTGGAGTTCCAAAAAAAATCCCACAAGTCAGCATCAGGCGTGCAAATTATGTTTTTTGTTGCTTCGCGGCGCTTTGTTAGTGCCCTGCAGGCCCAGAAAGCAATAACAGAAATCCAAAGGCTCGCAGACTCGACCTCTTTGGGTCGATGGCTCAATGCGCGCTCCGCTCCTTGCAGCGGTCAAAAAACCGGTCAAAATGAACTCTTTTTCGATCGACTGTTTCCAGATGTTGCAGTTGAACATGTGAATTAAAGTTCTACGGTTTCGGCGGCCAACCTCTGCCAAGTTTCAAACGTGGCAATTATGATGGTCAAAGACATTCCCTTTAGTTTGAACTTCGCGTGGGTCCTCTGCAGGTTCGCTGGTCAGTATCTTCCCATACTGTCCCCTCGGGGGTTGCTCACGGACTCTTACCACCCCGGTTTGGCAAACTCTCACTCTCTCCCTTCTTGTCTCTCCTTTCTCACCGTCTCTCTCCCCTCTCTCTGTCTCTGTCTCTCTCTCTCTCTCTCTCCCCATCTCTCTGTGCATATTTTTCTTGTATTCGCAACATACTTTGATCTGGTAGTTTTTGCGGATATACAAAGGGTGGTTGATCAATATTCGTTCATGCTGGAACGGCAATCCCTCGGGGAAAAATATTTCGTGTATCTTTCGCGGCCTCATCGCGAAGCATGGTCCTAAAACCACGCCTACATAGTTAATTAACATGAGCTGGAACTACTCATGTGTCACAAAATGGGAACTGACAACTTCCAGCATGACCGCAACAGAAGGTTGAGAGCTTCCACAGCTAACCAGGGTCACTTGCAGCATCTGTGCGACATTTGTGCGACAAACAGTACCCTAAGTCCTACAGTAAGTCCTGGAGGAGGGTGATGCAGCTCGGGGGATGTTGGGGGGCCGACTTTAGCGGCACATTCGTGAAGCTTTCGCGGATCTTTCGCAAAATTTCACTGGCGATTTCCTCGAGAAGGCATAACATATGCAAACATCTACACAGCCTGTCAGAGCTGCAGGTTGTTGCCTCACTGTCAGGGCTGTCGGAAGAAACACCCCCCCAAGAAAGAACTTACGCAAACCTCATCGCGCTTCGTGGATGTTTTTTAACAACATCTGAAAGGCTGTTTTATATAAAACTCCTTACACATGTCTAATATGTATCCATGCATCCGTCTTCGATTCCATCTCTCGACCCACCCGCACACCCGTCTCCTCCGCGCCCGTCCGTCAACTGGTTCTTGGAGCACCTCCCATGATTGCAAGTCCAGCAAGAGCCTCACTTCGATCAAAGACACAGGCTTCAATCTTGGAAACACTGCACTCCGCATCCTTGTGAAGCCGAACAGTTCCCAATCTGCTGTTGGAAAGGCTCAAGGCCCTGGCCAGACCCTCACGTGGTGGCAGTGAGCGCGCACGAGTTCCAGTGGCTCTGGCCGTTGAGACGAACAAGTTTCCGCGGGAAGGTCAACGAGAAACGCTGGCAAAGGGTCAAAAACCAGTCACCCAAGAGGGCACAAGTAGGATACAAATGTGAGACCGATGTCTAATGTCGACGTCTTTCTGGGTTAAAGGTTGTACAATTTGCTTTGAAGGGACTAGGTCTACATGTTTAATACACACTTATACTATCTGAAACCATATCATTTGCAGCTCACTATTGGTGCCTTGATGGTGCTGGTAGAGCTGCTCCAGAGGAAGCCTCTGGCCTCCATTCAATACATAGAAAAAGAGGGTCTCCAGTCTCCAATGAAGGTCACTAAAATTTCCTGCAACAAATTCGGTGACCTTTCGAGAGCATTCTGCTTCCACTCCATCAATCGCATGCCTGTTCGATCTACCGTCTGACGGAGTCCAAGCCAGCCTGGGCGGTCTCCGTCGAAGACGCGGGTAAGCAAGTCTTGGCTCCTGGCATGACTCATCGCAAGGGCCATGTCGCAGCATGAGACAAGGCAGATCAACGCAAGTTCGACAACAACGAGGCATCAGCATGCATCAGCATCCCGCTCCTCATGGACAACAGGACGCTCATCTGAAGCTGAAGCAGTGGGCCTCCAGGAAAAGCATCTATTGGCACAGAGTTAAAAGGCTTGTAATAACATCCACGAACACTTTTTTCACCCCACCTCAGCAAATTCATTCCAGCCACCTCAAAAGCAACCAGTGAGAAGTTGCTGCAACACAACGTAGGACCGTAGGACATTGGAGCTGGCAGTTTTGGTGAGCGTGTTGTCATTCTCCAGGTTTTGTATGTGGGTTATGTGGGTGGTGAGTGTGTGGCTAAAGCCCTGCATGTTGAGATCCCGTGTCCATGTCTTTTCTTGTGCCTGAATAAGCAGAAAGAAACCACAAGGGTCGGGCGGTTGGAAGGCCCAAATCCTGGCCCTTGAAAGCCAAACGCCAAGTGGCTGAAATTTCAGGCAAACTTGGTGACTGTGGAGTAAGCGGTGCTGCCTGGAAGCAAACTTTAGCACGTGCATGAGTCTATCGTCAGCCTATCACACCGAAAGAATCCAAGAGCTAACAGTAGGCCGCTGGGTTCCAGCAAACTCACGGCAACAAGGCGCTGCTTGCCCTTTTTAACACAAGCCTCAAGTGTCAGACCTTCGAATTTGTCCGCACTCTCTCCACTAAGTCGTCTTAAAGCTGCTTTGGACTGAGTGGGGCACAACGGGACAACGGTCCCTCTGCAGCCTGCAGAAGTGCGAACCTAGTCTTCTTGCCCTTCATGCTGCCGGTGGGCTCGTGACTGTAGAGAGCTTGGTCATGCTGATGTCATGTTCCTCGCTTCATCAGCATGGCAGCACCAACGCCACGCATAGCCAGTCAGAACGTGTCTCTGCTGTTGGTAGCTATCCTCCATTGACCGCGCCCTCCATTACATCGAATATCTTCGCAGCATCCGGACTGGCATTCTGCCTGCCTGTCTCAAAACGGGTACGCCACATGTTATCGTAGTCAAGCTCAAAGCGCACTGCGGGAAAGAGGCGCATAAACTGGCAAATCACCTTGGATCGGCTCTGCAACTAAGCTATGAGTCTGATTTCATTGTGCATGTGCATGTGTGTGTGGGTTTGTGGTGGCGTTGTAGGTTCATCAGGAACGCAGTGCGCCTACCCTCTTGCTGTGGCACTGTGGGGAAGTGGGTTTGTGCGTGTGAGGGTTTCTTCGGCTCATCAGGCCAAACTCTGCACAATTCTGCATAGATGCATGCATGTGCTTGGTTCCATTTGAGCTTTCTTGTGTCAACAGCTAGGAGCAGCTAGGATTTAGGATGCACTCTTCTTCCCTTCAGCGTGCAATCTTGAAGGCTTCTTGTCAGTCTGAAGGAAACGGGTATACCTGCAACGCGCACGACAACCCATGTCAGGGGCTCGTGGTTTTGAGTTTTGAGTGTTGTAAGTTGTAAGAACTGGAGTTGCGAAGACACAGCCGTGCCAAGAGCTTCACTACTATTTCCCCTATTGCAACGTCATCTAAAATCTAAAATGGATCACCCACAATCTTGCCAAGCAGCAGCAACGCAAGATATGCAAGGAAAATGCGAAACGTACATCTTCACATGTCCACTGCAGTCTGCCAAACCATCAAATCCTCAGATATCGTGTGCAGTAGGCACTGCCAAAAGAGTAAAATGCTAAAAGGGCGTTCTTCTATACCACAAGTAAGTGGGTCCAAGAGTTGAAGGCAACAAGGGCAACAAGAATGCAAATGTGAAACCAAATGGCCACATCTCTTCACAATGGCTCTCGCATGGTGTAGCAGGGCAAATCGCTCACAGTGGTCGTGTCGCGGTATGTGACCTCAATGGCAAAATGCCTCCTATCTGCATCAGGCCCGAGAAAAGTGAGCAGTTCAACTGCGTATTGTGCGTGCCCTGGTGTGATGGCAAGAAAGCAACTCACAGGACCGCAAGCTTGTCTTTGGTACACTTTATCATCGCCCATTCTACTCAACAAACCACTGCATGGCATTGAAAGGCACCGTCAATTATGTAAAAGCTGTGACGCAGAAACATCACCTTAGGTTTCTCAACGCATATGTCAATGGATCACTCCTTCCAGAGATGGGCTCGTTGACCCAGCTCCTCCCTCCGTCAACTTTGCTGAGTTCCTTGCTGAACACTGGCATCAACATCTGTTGCAGTCCTGAGGAGGCAGGCCGCTTGGCACTGCAGTCGGAAGAAGTGAAGCCTCTTCAAAACAAACAGAACAATCAACAAATATCAAGAGAGTGTGGCACTATCTGCCATGGCTAAGCATCCTGAAATCTTGAAACAAGAGTCGATCATCTATACCTCGAGGGGTGCCCCAAAAAAATAGGCGGCCAGGCTCCACCAATACAAGTTCCTCACGGATAGCTGCTGGCAGTTTGGAAGTGGTGCAATGAAGTGCAACATCCATTGCAAGGAAATTCGGATATTCAGTCGTCCTCCTTCAGATAAATTCTGCTTGAAAACCATGCCACAACACTTTCGGTCGATGGCGTCCGCGCAGTGCCAGGAATTGTGAGATTGATTCCTCTCATGCGGCGGGAGGCATGAACTCAGTGAACTCCTTCACTGCTCTGGATTGACTAGTGCCTCTCGTCCAAGATTGTGCTACCTTTGTTATTCTTTATTGGCCCCAGCGCAAGTCCAACAATTGATGTCAGTCGGGTCAGTTGGCTCCAAACTTACCAAATGGACAATGTAAATGAATCGCAGCACACCTTCAGCCGGACCCGTCTCTGCAGGCAAGTTTGAAAGTGAGTCCTGCGTGACCCGTATCTTCCTCATCCTCTACATCGCTGCTCATGGCTCTCAACCCGGCACGACCAAGCTTTGCAGCTTCGCACTCCATCACTTTCTGAAGACGAAAAGCGGCACGGGAACCAAGAAACAACATGAAACAACACAGAATGGGAGCTCCTGCCGTAGAAACAGCACATGCGCACTCACTTCTCTCCGAGGGCCACGCATCCACCGAGAAGGCTCGAGGGAGCCGTCGTCGGGAGATCGACGGCACTGCGCGTGAAATCGCCGGGACCTGACATCGCAAACACCGCAGCGACTGCGCCGGACCAGCTGGGTGTGGGAAGCGCCACCTGCGAGGTCCATGTCTATCACCACCTGCTTGACAACTACTTGTGAACTCCTATGCTCACGAGTTTTTGAGCCGCCTTACGGCATTGGAGCGTCTGTTTATGGTTACACTACTGGTGCTCCAAAGGGAGACTTGACGCATATAGTAGTTCGCGTTGCTTGCCGATTCAAGGTTGGTCTGTCCCAGCCATTTATTTGGACTGTCGAACATGGCACCAAAGCACTATGTGTGACAATAATCGATCTGTGTAGAATTTGACTCCGGCAGGTGCCTGGCGAATTGCCTGGTTAGTCAACCGCTCTCTTGGGTTGTCGGGCATTGATGGAGAAATATCAGAATCAAAGGTTGAATAGTGCTGCAGCCGGTTTCCCTTTCAAACGGTCCGCCTAAAGGACCCTGCATTTGTCAGGCACTTCTCAAGAGTTCAGGCAGTGCAATCACCAGCACATGCCCGTTTTGCATCCAACTCGTTAGATATGATAGCACTTTCCAGCTAGAGCTGCCCAGCATCAATCCATTACTGCTTAATGCAGCGTGGAGCTGCCATGGGCATAGTCTGCCTCTGGAGGTGCCCATGCAGTCGATCGGCATGTTGGGCAAGACCTCGTGCATGTTATATGCAACACTCTAGAAGAAATATCAAAAAACTAACATCAACACGAGACAAAGCCGGCAGGATGCACAAAAATCAAGAGTGTAAATCTCAAGTTTCCCACTGGCGCAGTCGAAGCCAACCTCTTGCACATTCCTCCGCGCAGGTCGTTTGTGCCAGTTGCTCATAGCCAGGTCGGTTATGATGTAAGCTATGATGCAAGTTATGAATCCTGCCTCCGTGTCATGCAATTTGTTGTTGCACACAGGGCACTGCCACACAGCTTCGTCGGGTCCAATGTCATCCATGCACCTGAGAAGATCCACAGGCAAACCAAAAGAAATGCCTCAAGCTCTCCACGTTGGCCTGTCTTGGGGATTCACCACGTTCTCCAAGTTCCAACTGAGAGAAAGTCATGCATCATCAATCACGCATCCAATACCAATGAACTTTTGTTCCTTTTGAGCACAAGTCCAGATCCTACAGCAGTCACGGTTGGACACTCTCAGTGACAAAGCAGCTCCAAAGTTCGCCGTGAACCCAAGGCAAAATCTCGAGATTCACGCAAAAAGCGAAGACTGCGATTGGCCACTGTCGTTGAGCGGCGAGTTCATCATATGAGTTATATATGACTCAGGTCCTAGCTTCTGCTTAGCATACTGATTAAGCATCACAACAGTTTGAAGAACTCAAAGCTCAATCATGAGTTCTCAATGAGCTTGGCCCAGGATTTGCATGTATACATCTCTGCTTGGAGATGGCAAATCCAGTGTGACTATATATATATATGCGAGGACATTTTGTGGGTGTGCCATCTTGGCATCAGGTCACCAGGTTGTAGGACAGCTTCGTCTAGGCTTCTTTTCAGCTATAATAGATTGTAATATGCATCGTTTGATGCTACAAATGATGTGCCACGACCCTCGATCCAAGAGCCTTGCCTTAGACAATCAGCCGCAAAATCAGAACGCAGATTCCTATCACTGCCGGTAACGAGAGCACCCGCAGAGACACAGGACTCGACAAAACACTGCACGTGTGCACTGGGTGGACTGGAGCTAGGATGTGGAACATGCCCGGTCGGCCCTGTGACGCCCAATGGAAGCCGCCCGAAGAATTGGGAGCATCCCTCCGCTATTAGATCACTGGTGTGAGACGTAAATTGGGCGCAAAGTCGGAGTGCCATTTTTTGGGTCCACGACAGCAAGCATGACCTCTTAGGGGAATATCAAGCACTCACGGCTTCTGCACCGAAATATGGAGCGCTTCTGCGTAAGCGGCATTTTCGCATTAGGATTCACTGCACAGCAAGCACCCAGGAAGACTCACAGCACTCACATGTTGACAGCCTTTGTTCATTCCTTTGTTCATATCTCTTCAGTGTTTTCCACCTGGCATTCGAGCGCTCAACGTCCCAATGTTTATTATAATTGTTTATAACTGTTTATATATAATTTTGTTCAATCAAGGGCCCGGTTGCCAAAACAATGACACGGTGTGTTTCTTTAAGTCCATCAAGCCTCTGTGATAGCATGTTTAGTCATTCTGCCTAGCCACTTTTGACGGATGTCACCAACATTCTATTTCTTGCCCTTCACTGGCTTCAAGACCTTGGCATCGCAATGCATCCTGCAGTCGCCACAAAGAACACTTTGCTAGTTTGCCGAGACTCGAGTGTCAAAAACATGATCACTGCCATCAGTTGCACACCAAGCCGGCGGAAAAAAACGAACGCTCAAAAAACTGCAAGGGCTTGGCTTTGAAGCTGCACATGAGTGTCTCATCGATGCTCATCATCCTCGGCAAAAGAGCGACTTAAATGACATGACTCAGCTGCTTTCAAAAGGTTTTCATGTCAAGCTACGCCCCTGCATTGTCAAACTCACCACAGTAGTTCCTCAGTGGCCACAGGCTACGATCAACTTGCAAAACGGAGTTTGCGTATGCAGCCCATACAGCCTGGCCACGGAGCACTAAATAGGGTGATGAGCTGGCGCTTGGCAAAGAACTCATAGCCGTCCTCGACCACCTTGCCACAAACTCGAAGCAATCTCCACTTGGTTCCGCTCGCTGTTGCTTAATGACTCGCCATGCTGGTTGCAAACCCGGGTACCTCAATGCAGGGTCCCAATCTCAGAAGTGTTTCAGCCATATGTACCATATGTACAAATGGAATTGTGCAAATCAATAGGGTGTTCACCTTTTTAGTTGGGTTTTGGTCTATGTCCCTGCTTCCAGGGGGTCTTTGGATGTCTTTGCGAGGTCTCCCTATTTTTTCAGAACACCCACATACAATGCTGTGGTCCTCTTTGCGTAGATGTTACAACTTGTGTTAGCCCAGGACGGCCTGCAATCCAACGGTGACACGTGAACGAAACTTCTGCAACGAGAAGACGTCCCAATAGAAAGCCGATGCTTAAAACCCAAACAAGTGGAGGTTGCATCTTGGAATCTCGGGACTCCTCAAAGACCATAAAAAAGCAAAGCCATGCGCCATGGGCATTTAATGTGTATATATATATATACACATTGTTCCCCGCGTTGCGACCATGTTGAGAGCCTCTTGTCTTGGACATGCTCCAAAGGCACACATTAGTATTGCCATCATCACATATTAATTAAATAAATATAGATATAAACTGCGAGTGGATCTTAATCAGCGAAGTTTGAAGCTATCACTGACGAT